GATAGCCTCAGGATTATCAGCTAACACTCTTGCACTCCATAGTGGATCATCCTAGAATAATACAATGCTCTATTATTGAAATAAATCATCAAGCTTTCTGATTTACCTGCAGTCCAAATGAGCTCAAAAACGATGGATGTCAAAATTTTGTTTTACCATTTTATATAAGACAACAGAATACATGTAACAGCCGTAGTCTTATCACAGAACATACGTACATTGATATCAAAACCAAGTTTAATGAGTTCTGTAGCTAGACCTCCATCTAAAACAAGAAATTCCGATTCCATACAGTCTTGCGAACCTCACAAGTCTGCCAGGCGTTCCTTGTTCCTTGTACAGAGAGGGATTGGAACCGCTAAACAATATATCTTGCAGCACTTTATGTTTATCTATTTTTCTCTTATGTTAAAATTTTATGACTTTAAAATAAAATTAAGAAAATATATATTTCTTTCCCTTAGAAATTGATTACATAAGAGCGGAAATAATTGATTTCACTTAACAGGAAATTAATAACATAAACAGAGCCATTTGTGCATTTCTTTTCACTTTATTGAGTTGGAAAAAATGTTGACATTTTAGGACGTTAAAATAAAGAATTTTTTTTTATTTCCCTTGGAAATTGATTGCATAAGAGCAGAAGAATTCATTTATTTGTTTATTTATTTTTTAACAGGAAATTAGTATAATAGACAGTACACTTTGCACAAGTTTTGCAACACATTTTATGTTGCAAAACTCTTTCCAACATATTTGCGGTAGACTGCGCACAGCCGAACCAAAACTGCATCAACTAAATTAATAAAAAGTTGAATGTGTTGTCCGATATTGTCCGATTGTTATGTTTCTGCTGTAGCCAGGCGTTCCTTGTAGAATTTAGAGAGGGATTGGAAACGTGTTTACAATTTGCGCTCCGGCGCGTCTGTACAGGATTTACCAGGAATTACCAGGAATTACCACGAGTCACGTACTGGAAAGAAAAACTTGCATAGCGCATATACAAGTCTCTTCTACGCCCTCTACATTCGTGCGTGTTTATCGTTATACATTTTACAAATAGTTATAATCAGCACAGCCACAAAAAACTGATTTTTTTAAAAAATATACAGAAAAATATAGACCGACCACTAATAGAGAAAAATATAGAAATATCAAAATAAAAAAAAAAACACTTCCCTCTCTCCTCCAAAAACAATGTGTTTAATAGGGAAAAGAGCCTGTTCACATAATGTTATATTTCAATTTTTCTTTAATAAATCGTGTTATCTCGTGTTACAAATTCTCATGCTGTATATCTAACCATCTGACCTTCGGATACAAATTTCACGAGAGGGAAACAACGTGACTACAACCATAACAGTTAAAAAGTCACATGTCGTCTCTACTGCTTCGTAACTGAAATTCAACAAAACAAGAAAAACCGGTTTTATTGATGACACATCAATAAAATTAACCAATGAGAACTCCTTCTTTTGACAGTTGAATGGGTTCCTGTCAAAAATAGCCAATCAGCGCCGAGTATTTTTCGTTACTGTAGGAGCGGGTGGGGGTGTGTTGGAAGGAATGACCTCAATGAAACATGTTGGAGTAGAAAGCTATAAAATCGGATGAAAATAGCGCCATTTTAGATCTGATTTTGGTCAAATGAACTCATTGCCTCCAAGAAAAGGTAGAAAACATGAGTTCTACAAGGGATCTTAATATTGCGTTCTCTGGATGCGGTTTTTTAGGCATTTACCATCTTGGTGTCGTATCTGGTCTGAAAGACAACGCGCCGGCTTTTCTTGAGCGAGTGAAATGTTTTGGTGGTGCAAGTGCTGGTGCTTTTGCCGCTACGGCATTACTGATGGACCTAAACTTGTCAGGAAGTGCTGAATTTGTCCTTCGTCTTGCTAAGAGAGCAAATTCTTTGACATTAGGACCACTCCATCCACAGTTTCGTATCGTAGACACTGTACGCAAGTCGTTTCAGAAGATCTTGCCTGAAAATGCTCATGAGATTGCCAGTGGACGGCTACACATTTCTCTTACGAGAATATCTGACTTTAAGAACATTATCGTCTCTGAATTTTCCTCAAAACAAGACTTGATCGATGTAAGTAGTAAATTAGATCAACATTACTTAAGTTCGCAACAACTAAACCCTTTTAATTAAGGGTTAAAAGCTACAAGCTTAAAAGCTTATATCGTGTTAGAACCGTTGTGCGTGAATTCCGCAATCCAGGTTCAGGTGGATCATCGTCCGTTCRTTGTTCCTAGTCATGAAATATTTTCTATTGTTAAAAGCATCAACTTCGCGTGTTGAATTGAAGAGAGAGAGCGCTGGTAAACAACCGTGAAACACTTGTGTTTACTCATTTCGCGATGCATTGCAAAAAAGACGAAATTTTTACAATTTTTAAAGCTAACTAATATTGTTCATGAAAAGGGATCTGTTTTCGATCTATTGAGGGTATGTTATGAAATGTTTTGTTTAATATCTTCATTGCTTTGACTGTCTGAAGCCAACAACGACTGCCACACATAGCGAAAATGTGCTCTCAGCCGATTTTAATAAACGTTGTAATTTTGTCTCAAAAGATTTTCTTCAACACTCACATTTTTAGAAATGAATTGGACTCTGTCTGTGCTTTTGCGACAAATTACGAAATACCGATGCTGTTGATGAAGCGCATTTTTGACCTGTCTAGTACCTGCAAAGAAGGAATGAAACACAACACTCTTTCTTTGGTTTTTTGCCAATTACGTAATATTAATGTTCGCGGTAACTAGTAGATTTCGTCCGTGAAAACAACTTCATTTGTACATTTCACTTTAAAAATGTAAACATTCATATCCAAATTGAGTTTTAACGCTTAACAAAATACCGAAAATGGCGATTAATATTCAAGTCAAAATGTTGAAATTTTATGACGTTGAAATTAAAAAGAATATTCCATTTTCCTTGGAARTCGATTGAATAAGAGCGGAATGCGATAGCGTTAATTGATTTCACTTAACCGGAAATTAGAATATAGCATGCAAGTTTTGCAACATATTCAATGGAACAATCTGCCTGCCTCTATGTTAATAATCCGTCCTAACTGACTGTTTTCAAAGAAAAATTAATATGTTTAAATCGCCTTCCTGTAAACTAAATTTTGTTATACTGACCCCCAGCCAATAATCCTCATTTCTGAGGGACAGGCTGTACTTGGTAATTGAATAAATAAATAATTTTCCATTATGTAACACAAGGTGACAYGAATATCTTTCAAGCAAAACTCTTTCTCAGCAGGTTTGCGGGAGGTTTTTGTCCAAGGTCAATTTACACACACCTTTTACTTTCAGATATAAAAACAATTTCGACATCTGTCAATCAAATCAGCGGCTTGTTTTTTGTACAATGGCATGAAGCAAGCCAGACATGTGCCCAGCATAGGATGTCTGACAATTTTCTAGAACATACCTAAAATGTCTGCATCTAAATCCAGCTCTCAATTCCTCTCATGGTGTTCTATAAAGTGAATGCAGTATTGACATTAAATTGCTTTTACTGAAATTACATTACAAAACTTAATAGTACAATTTCAGTTTAACAAGAATGTTCATAGTACATGCAATTTGCAATAGTGATGGGATATTTTAGTATACACCTCTTTCTGAAATAGTAGTGTAAATATCATCCTTGAGCCAAATGTAATCCTATTCAATTCTTGCTGTTGTTGTTTCTCTAAATTCTGTCCTTTCCCATTTTATTGTACTTGTTGGGTCCATGTCGTGATATTTGAGCCATGATATCCTGGATTACATAATATAATCTGGCAGACTCTCCCTCTCTTGACCTCCGTATGTTAATGCTGTTATTACAAAGAAGTGTTTTCTTCAAAGTATCAATAATCAGTTCTAATTAGTGATAGGTAATGCTGTTCAGAGGGCATAACTTCTGATAGTAAGCTGAAACAACATTTTGTATAAAACAGATTTCCTTATAATCCTTCAAAACCATTCCATTTAAGAAAACTTTGAATAAGTTATGTCTGTTGTTTTAGAATGTAGGTGTATCTAAAGAAATTGCACTCTTTGTTGTTAGTAGGAATTTTAAATCAAATAGCTCAGATTTGCATAAAAAAGTCTGTCAATGAAGCAGAGCATTCTTTTATAATAAATTATTTTTTAACTCTGCAGGCTTTACTAGCTACTTCTCATGTGCCATTTTACTCAAGCATACTTCCTGCCAAGTTTAGAGGAGTGGTAAGAATTAGCTTTGATTATTTTCCGTATTCATCAAATAATGGACATAATTTTGTGTTGACACCTTAGTAATGTGTGGTATTGTTATTGTAATTTCCTGCTGTTATGAAAAGAGTTGATTGATGTCATGTACCATAACTTCCTTTAGATATCATGTTAATATAGGTACTGTAAATTATATGTTATATATTGTTTGTTGATAAATTGTGTATAAAGTTATAATGTAGATTTTCTGTTGAACTTGTAATTTTGATCCCCAATTACTACACATAACTGAAGAAAAAAGTTCAGTGCATCATCACTGTGTGTATCGTGTTTGGTCTCATTGTGCATTGGGCCAAAGGATTCCTGTTGTGTCTTTAGGGAGATCACGATTTCATGTTTTAGCACGTAAAGTGTTGGACAATTACCAGAGGAAATGAGATCAAAACAAGCTTCTTGTTGACATCAAAAGTCATGATATTATTGTGAATCAAAATTTTAGTTCAAAGAATGGGAGTTTTTTCATGTGTGTAATTGTATTCCTGGTTTATTAACTCATGGTTTCTTTTCCTGGCAGTATTATGTAGATGGTGGTCTAACAGACAATATGCCTCAACACTTTGAGGGAGAAACAATCACAGTKTCACCTTTCAGTGGAGAAAGTGATATCTGCCCTAAAGATGGCTCTCCAAACCTGGCTTATATTGACCTTAGCAATACAAGTGTCCAGTTCACACTRCAAAATCTTTATAGATGTTCCAGGGCTTTTTTTCCCCCTGAGATTGATGACCTGATGGAGATGTGTAAACAAGGCTACAGGGATGCCTTGAGATTCTTACAAACACATTGTAAGTATCTTACTATGACAGGGATAAAATATGYTTGCAACTCTTGGGCTTCCTGTGTCTCTCTTTTGACCAAGGTAAACTGAAAAGTCCCCTCCTTAGTCAAGAGTACAGGGATCCTGAAGAGTAAAATATAGATTGTCTATAGTGAAGGCTGAATGATGATGATGATGATGCTGAACTATATTATGAAGTAATCAGTCTATTTTGGTAATACTGATGATGATAGTGATGATGATCATGATGATGATAGAGCAGATTTCGTATGAGTGGGACACCGTTACCACACGGTTACCGCACATTTACCGGACCTGGCCTGCAAAATTTTGGTGAACCACTGGGGCACTAGAATTTGGTTACAGTACGATTACGATCACAGTACAGTACCATCCGTTTCCCACTCATACGAAATCCGCTCTAGTGATGATGATGATGATAATGATGGTGATGATAGTGATGATCATGATGACGATGATAGTGATGATAATAGTGATGATGATAGTGATGATGATGATGATGATAGTGATAGTGATGATGATCATGATGATGATGATAGTGATAGTGATGATGATCATGATGATGATGATGATGATGATAGTGATGGTGATGATATTGATATGGTAGGCATATCATGATATTATTATATCCTTATACTGTAGACCCTGAGACATTATCACCAGAAGTGCAAAGAAGGAAGCCATCGTCAGTGTTCTCACCTTATAATCAAGTCAGCAATTCAACCAATCACAAGCCACATTTTTCTAGGATGAGCAGCATTAGCTCTGAATCAGTCTACAGCACATGCAGCAATACAGATGGTGATATCTTCTTCAGTGAACAAGATGAACAGGTAGATGACGGTGAGGAAACTGATGGAGAGTCAAAGCTTAGTTTGAGTAAGTGATACATACAAATTACTTCACAATACTAAACAAATCTTACYGATCCTTTTTTACAGCCATCCATCAATTTTTTATCCCTTTTGATCTTCCTCTTCTTATGCAATCATTTTATGCTTCTTATCATGCCATATATTGGACCTTTATTCATATATAACTKCTTTTTTCTCTAGTGTTGGAAGAGGCCACTCAATCAATCTCAGAAAAAGAACTCTGGTCTTGTTATCTTCTACGTAAAGCTATGTGGATTTTCAAAATGGCAGCTAAACCATGTGTATTGTCAGCAAAACAGATAACTAACATGGCACACATGTAAGTGATATCCTATGTGGAAAAAAAACTCTCTGCCCTCTGATATACCTGTACATTAATACAGGGGAAGAAGGACAAGAAAAGCAAGCTTAGAAACGAGATATTTTGCCCCTAGGCATATGCCAACAAACTATGTCATTGAGAAAAATGGTGGGAACTAGCGGTAAACTAGTGTGAGCTAAGTCAGTGTTTCTAAAGAAAAAGTTGTGTAAAAAGATAAATTTATCATCGTAAAAAAAGTATGTAAAATAACTTAATGACGTTTTGGACGTTAATCCTTCGTCGGAGTAAAGAGATGGAACTAGGTATAGTGTGAGTTTATATAGTAAGAGTAGCAAAGAAAATGATGTTATTGAGAGTGTGTTTTATACCAAAAATATTATGGAATATTTTATAAACCTCATCTGCATTATGSTCATATGTGGAACTGACTGTTACTCTTACTACACAGGGTTATAGATTACATGCCAGTCATAGAAAAGACTGGAATACAGTTTATGGATCAATTTCTGGACATGATCTATGTGATGGTACATACATACAAGAACAAGCACCAAGTACATCATAAAAGGTACACTCAGATTCAATGACAATAAATCAGTTCAAGTCTGTGGTTATAGGGACAGTTAGAATACTCCAATTTCGAGTTCTGGTTTGCTCTGTGTTAGCCTCAAAACCAAGTAACATATTCTTTTGTTTCATTGATAGCCCAAAAACACGCATGGAATTCCAAAAGAAAGACAATAGAACAGAATTGAAATCTCACACTTTTATTCTCACAATTAGGAATATTTTGCGCACAAATGAGGCTAACACAGAGCATTGGAGAATTTGAAACTGGATTATTGACACTTCTGTCTCTGCAGACTGATAACAATGCAGACTAGAGGGAGTTTATCTTGGGGATGAAATAATGGCTTTTAGTTCCCAAATGTTTTATTTTTGGATTATRTTAGAATAGTACCTACTGTATACAGCATTATGCCTAGTAGTTCTTTATCTAAAAAAGAAATTAATTATATTAGTTTGTTGATTTTGATTTTTTTCATGTTTTTACAGAAAACAGGGAGTAGTTGCATGTTATCAAAGACCATTAACCAAAACACAGGCAGTATTACATGAAGGTAAGCATATTATAATGCTGTGTGGATGATATATCAATGATGATTAGATTAATAATAATGATGATGATGATGATGATTTACTGATAGTGATGACTTTCCATTAGCGCACTAACCATGTTACAATGATGATGATAATGTAATGATAGTGATGACTTTCCATTACGGCACAAACCATGTTACAATGATGATGATAATGTAATGATAGTGATGACTTTCTATTATGGCAATAACCATGTTACTTCTGTGTTTGCAGCTTCCTTTGAACTGGTCCAAAAGTGGAGACAAGAGTCATCTAAAAACAGGCTGTTCAGGAACAATTCACCCTCAACAACTTCATCCTGTCAATCATCTGATTCTGCAGTAGATAGCAGTGATGACATTGAAATCATTCATGATGAGAGCTTCATGAGCCATGGGTCAGGGGGGTACGACATGTGTGACAGYATCTCATTCCATCCAAAGGTATCAGAAGAACAGYTGGAGTTGACATTAGGCGTATGGGAGTCAGAGGGTGGTGCCTGCTATTCTAACAGTCCTRTATACAAGTCAGAGGGGTCATTGGATGACTATGTTGTTCTTGATGGGTATGAGACAGATGTAGAGTCAATGATGAGTAGTGAYGCTGGCGATGAGATGGTAACATTCCTGGAAACCAATGTGTAGCAAGTAATATACTTCATTATCAGAACATATGTCACACATAAGCTATGATAAAAATTACTTAATATTTGGGAAAAAGAATCACAACTGACACTGTTACATTGTAGATATKGGTTAGTTATGAAGAAATCTTTTATGACTTTAAACTAAAATCAGTACAGTAGAGTAGACCGTGTATATAATATATGTTGGAAGCATATGTAAAACAAACTACTTTTAGTGGAATCAATGCTAACAGTTAATTCAAACTTTATTATAGTAAATGAAAGAGTTTAGTACAAACTACAAAAGTGCAACTATCTCATGACACTGACTGACAAGCATCGCAGACACCCATTATTATTTAAGTCCATGACTAAATGTATTATATAGTGACTTATGATACAATGGCTGGTACATTGTTCTTTTCATACAACAATAATATACTTGAATATTGACTTTGACAGYATAAGATTGTACATATTATAACATATTGGATTATCAAGAGCAATTACTTAATTCAATTATTTTAATATAAAAATTAATGCTATTGATAAYAGTTGATGCCATTATCTACCATTTTGAAGTTTAAAATTCTTGTTGAAATTGAAATTGAAACTCTTGAAATACAGTATTAAAATTCAGACAGAAATTTTTTATATATTTTAAAAATATTGTACCAAAAGTAAAATTATAGAAATTATCAATTTGAGGACAAATGCCTCTCACTAAAGAGTACTAAATGAGCAARAAACAATTTTTCTAAAATCACTGACAATGTTATTTGCAACAGTTTGAATTCAAAGACTATTTGTTATATAATATTGTGTACAATGTACTATTTCAAATCAAAATACCACTGAAATAGATTGTGGGTATTACACACGGAAAAACCATTAAATACATGTGACATAGTTTAAGTATTATATCCCAACTATTGATGTTTTTCACACGTTAATGTTAAAGTTCAGATATATTCTGTATGATATTATTTAATATTTCTGGGTTTTACCAGTTGTACATAGAAATAAATTATAAGTAGGAAAAGATACTATTGTATATAAGTTATTTTGTTTCATAATATTAAATTGATTGATTGTGAACTTGTATTTGTGTTTTGTTTTCAACATTTGCCTTTGGAAAAATATATCACCACATACTCAAGAAACATGAAAGTGGATAGTACGCTGGAAATGAAGCCATCAATGAATGGTAGATTTCATAGCCAATGCAAAAGAATGGATGTGAACAAACGGAATGYCAGATCATTGATTGTTCATCATTTAATGAATGAGAATACCAGATCATTGATTGTTCATCATTTAATGAATGAGAATACCAGATCATTGATTGTTCATCATTTAATGAATGAGAATACCAGATCATTGATTGTTCATCATTTAATGAATGAGAATACCAGATCATTGATTGTTCATCATTTAATGAATGAGAATACCAGATCATTGATGGTTCATCCATTCAGTTCATCCATCTTTTGGTTATGAATGAAATGGTAAATAAATAGATTAATGAACAGATAAAATGAGTCATGAATGAGAATTTAATGGACGATTACTCTGTTCGGTATTAATCTTGTCTACTAATCTATCAATTCTTAGTCGTTTCCATCGCTTGAGGGAACTACTGTCACTATTTGTTATGTATAACAAACAACCACATTCACTGTGATCTCTCGAGGTGAACTAAAGGTTTAGTCAGTTAAATGTTTGAATTAACGCTAGTATTGCAACACTGTTCACAAATGACACTTTATTCACTTACATGTAAGTGATAGTTTTACGATAGAAGACTTTTGACATTTGCTTAATATTGTGGTTGAAGATGGTGTGAATTCATAACATGAAGAAATGACTGCTAACATRCACAGAAAGAAAACCTTAACCTTGTGGTCAAATTTAATTTCTAAATATGGATGGYAATGAAAAGTCATTCACAAAACTCATGAAAATCTGTTAGCTTGTTCTTGTATTTTTATTTTTGAACAGTTTGTTCTTGTATGCTTTTTTTCAATGCAGAACAAAATGGAGAAATAGAATTGAAGATAAGATAACTTATCTGTGTTAGAATCATCAATATGTTTGTTGAYATCTTTTAATGGAGTCTTCGAGCAATGGGCGTCGCCCCTACAGGTGAACCGGTAAACTACGTGCTTCTATAATGGRTACAAACTACATGTTTATAAACAAAGTCGTTTAGACATTTTGCTACTAATTACGTGTCGTTCTTTCRTTTTATTTTTCTGTGGCTGTTCATTTAATTCCAATTATGCGCGCGCGCAAATTCTATCATTTTTAAGTTATTTGGTCGTATTTGGTCAGTAGATCAAATATCAACTCTCCCAGGCTACAACTGCTTTTACCTCTTTACCACATCCTTAAAATCTTGGTCGAATTTGATATTTTTAGCTTTGCGGGTAAAAACCAATAGCCGATTTGAATGAAATAAATACAGTCAAGATTTTAGTGTAAAGTGTCAGAGAAGAATAGCGTGGTTGAACACAAAGTCTTGCCAATACCATTCAATGTTATACAKTGTAAAGACGATCTAACAGCTATCACTAAATAAGAAGATTAGTGATAAGATGTTAAGAAATCTGATTAATGCCGATAACATTGAGTCCTTGATGTCTCTTTTTAAGGATAAATGAAGCAAGTGCATGGACTATCACCCCACAAATTGTTAAGTCCATGATGAGTTATTCGTCTTGTTCACACAATATACAGAGAGAGAGTGCTTTATCATGGCGCGATTGTGAGAAGGTTTAAGTTAATCATTTAGCAGTCCGTCAGCCGGCAATGATTCGAAAGACGATTAACTGAATGAAAGCTTTTGTCAAATAATAAATGAAAAGATATTAAAACAGAGTAAATGGATGGATGAATGGATGGATGAATGGATGGATGAATGGATGGATGAATGGATGGATGAATGGATGGATGAATGGATGGATGAATGGTAAGATGAACAGGAATACATAAACGGATGAACAAATGGACGAATAGATCAGAACAATGAAGTCATGATGATGGATTAATGAATAAATGAAATGACAAATGAATAAATGAAATGATTAATGAATGAATAGGAAGAAAATCTGATATACGAAAAATAAATAATCACTGCAGTTGGTTGTTTGACTGAAGGAATCAATAACAGAACGGTGATTAACAGAATAAAGATGTCATATAAATAAAAGTAAAAATCTTTCTTCCTTTTCTATGTATTCTAATCAAACTGTCATTTGAAAAMATGTACCAAAACATCGAGACAATAATATCAGACGTCCACCTGCGCGTTGTAAGTGAAAACGCCTCGGTGGATAGATCACCATGATCACTGTCTGCAGATGTAATGAACTTCTGATATTCTCATCAAAATGTCGTTGGAAGTAACCATTGATTTCTGTGTCAGTCAGACAKTGAACAGACAGTCTTTTATCATCTATCTCATAGATTAATGTCTTAACCCTTAAGCGATTGATAAACACATTAACGCAGTGACTTATTACTGTGGTTATGAGCTGAACCCTACACGGCCTTTGTCTACTGTCATATAACCAACACCCACCAWCATCAATCGTACACCCTAMCGCCCTTGTCKATAATGTACAAACTGTACTCATTAAGCMTCCCTTAATCGACAACCTGCACACATACAACAAGACATATGTCGGCATATCATGTGTAACGWGATTTCACCATCAAAMKAAATGTATTAAAACCAATCGTAATCTAAGCCTGAAGCTTTCTAGGGAAAGATCAATTTACACTACCCGACGTTTTGCACTCAGTTMCGATCATATCCATCAACATATTCTTAGAAGATAATACTCAAAATCCATAACTACAAACTTTTATTTCTTTCCACTGCATACTAGTGCTTTATACAAAAATACATCTACWCTATACATGGACACTGTATGAAAACTGCGGTTCGAGCTGTACGCTGAACGAAATGGAAAGTGAGCCTATTTAAATGAGGAAATTACAAGAGAGGAATGAAAAGGTACAGAATGGAAAGATTTGAGAAAAAAAATAGCTGGATGGGATTTGAAATGAATGAATGCATGGAAAACAGTTAAAATCTCTTGATAAAAGTCTTTGATAAGTTTGTGCACTATGGCGGCGGTTATGAGTGACAGTGTCCTCTATGATTCCTAGAAAACAGCAGTACTGAACGCACCATGTGGTTCCATGGTACCTAGCTGTGTTCTATGCGGTACAACTCCTAGAAAACAGCAGTACTGAATCAAAATATTTACAATATCCTCGCGTAGTTGATGAATAAACTAAATACGTATTTTTTTGCCAGAGTGTATACAAATTTGTGGTGTTTTGTCTCGYCTTTGCTGTTCATTGCCGCGTTTATAGCGGTAGATGTGATGGTTTTTGCCTGGTGTGTCGGTTAGTTTTGAAATGTGTTTTCATTTGGTCGATTCCAGCTGGTTTTTAAGGTTCACATTTGCTGTTGTTATTATTCAGTCCTCGTTTAATATGTAGATCAGGCAGAAACTGTCTTGACCGCAGAATGGCTATTTATAGGAATGTCATTGGACCATTTATGCAAACACTAACGTTCTCAGATATTGTTGGGGTTTCGCTTGAGATCGTTTTTCAGCTATTCGGAAGGTTTTATTGCTAACAAAATCAGCGATTTTSATATTTTTCTTTTCGTGGCTGTGTTCTGCATCGGTTTTGCTGCCAGGATAGCCATGGCTTTATCAGGCTATATTTTATCATTCATATTGGTCCTTTCTTTTGAGATATCACCAAAGTACGTGCTTGTAAGGCCATACATTAATATCTACAGCACCCACATGATTGATTTACAGTCAATTCATCCGCCCATAACAATCCATTCAGGCAGAAGAGCGATTGCTTCCCTTTACCCCGCATAACGGATGTTCTCCGATGATTGTAGCAGTAATGATGRATTCACAACCCACTGATTGACTTCCACCTKTACTAGTTCAAGATGAAAAGTGCCACTATTTTTATAAACCCTTGAAAAACGCCTCTTCTAAGAATTGTACACTTTTCTCACCCTTGAATGRATCTAACGTCTCTTTTTTCGGTTTTCTACAAGCAAAGCTGTACAGTGTGCAGTTCTAACAATTATCCACGCCACTCCATGCGTTAACCACATTATTAGTCATATATTGTTCGTCATGTTTACAGGAGCTGTTAAATCTTTCTGTCAAACCCATTCACTTCTCATAATGTCGTTGATTCTATCGTCCAGTACTGCGCTGCTTACTAATTTAAACAGTTTTTTCCAGTTTTTTTCGGCGTTGCTTTCATTGTTTTTACACAACGCTAGCCGAACCATTTCCTTTGTAAGATTGGGGATGCTCTCCGGTGTCTTTTCCTCTGGTTGTTCGTTAATCTTAGAAGGTTTCTTCGCCGTAGTTTGTCGATTGCGCTTATTTTTTCCCTCGACTTCGTTRTTACACTTCTCGCACATCGCGCACTCAAAATGGCGATCGTTTTCCTTGATAAAATAACGAATTTCCTCTAGTTTATCCGCCCATTTTACATGCTTCGCCATGTTTTTGTCTTTTGAGAAGATCAACTGCAAGTCTTTCCAGGATAGCTTGTGAGTATTCATGTTTTCTACTCGCTTGGGTGTCGTCAAATGAAAACGTAGTAAACACTAAATCGCGTTATATAAGATAGTCACGTCACTTAACTGCCCACACAGATCAGGAGTCAATGGAGACGATCATTGCATGACATGTTGATTGTGTGACAAATCGTGATATGTGAYATGCTAATTGATGAAGAACGAATAAAATGGCAAAGATAACATCTAAACTGTGGTTTCGATAAATATTAATGGCTGCAATAACGACAAGTACGTGGCAACCAATCTATTTTGAAGCCATTTYACTACTAGAACAAACTAGAAACTACCTTTACTGATACTGCTAGAAATTCAAATATTCCTCGAAATTGTAACAGAAAATCCTTCTCATGTTTGCTTGCATTTATTGCTGCTGTTATCAAAATAAAAATTTATTCTAAATCTATACATATCGTTATGAAAAACTTCGATTTGCCCAGTTACTGCTGACCACTAGTGTAACGGGCTCAGTCGTCTTCCCCTTTTTGGCTTTCACTTTTCTACTTAAAACTGCCATCCTCTTTCAGGAAAGGTGATTTTGAAAGTATTAATGGCTGTATTATCGAAAAACATGTTTTAATTGGTAAATTACACCAACAGCAATCACATATGTTGTCTTCTAAGCGGTTATTCGCACAAACTTAGCTCACAGAAGCTCAGAATCACAAAAAGATTGGTGGAAACAACAAAAATTTGAAGTCGTGAGAAGAAATTTTTTTATGACCTTGGAAATTGGGTATATAGGYTCAGACTGACAGGGAAACTGATGCGCATAAAGTTAAGCCCAGTCACGTGTCCCTCATGTGACCACACCCTATGCACCCGCGACAGCAATAGTGCAGAGGCCTTGTTCCCATGAGATAGGGCGCCCCTTWGAGMCAAAATTGTTTTGTTTTAATCATCCAGGAAAAAGAAAACARAACAGTTCGGCTCTRCTGTACTTAGGTCGAAAAAAGTCTAAATTTAGCTTCTTACAAAGAAACAAGTAAACTTATTGAGTGYGCCCTCATTTCCCCCTCTTGAGTGAATTCATTGAGTTGTTTTTRTCGATGCTCGTTAAATCAGTCTTCCGCTATATAACATGTCGTGCTTGTTATCGTTGTTTGTTTATGAACATTTTGCAAGACTTACTCTATTTAAATGGGAAACATCACTTCGTTGCCAAACTATAACAGTCATATACTACTTTTATCCTTTTGTAATTCCGACTAAACATTGTTCTGTCTCAGATTAATGTGTGTTTGGTCGAAGTTTTTAATTTATTGTTTCCGGGACAATGCAAAGTTTCCAGTCTAAAATAAGCTAGTCTCACCCAGTGTTTAGTGAGCCGTTTTGGTATAAACGCTCTTTCCGGGATATCAAACTTTSGGCTCGTTAAAGACCTATGTCTGCTTCGTGTCTTTATCCTTTTTATAAAACGCCTTTTCCTGCTGCTCACTGCTTCTTTCTATTTTTGATACGTTTTGTTTGATATTGCTCACTCTTTTTAAACGTTATTTGTAGACATACTTCCTTTTCAAATCTATCGCAGTATACTGCATTAACTACTAAGACGTTTTATTTATCCAGCTTCCTTTTATAAGTTTCGTATTTCTCGACCATTTTGAGAAAAAATACGTTTTAATGGCTAGTAATGAATATACTGGCTGGACCAATACACGAATGATTTAATAGACAATACTCATAATATCTTTAGATAGAGACTTAACGTTATATACATGAATGATTGATAAAAAAATAAGTAACAACATAAGTTAACAACTAGAGGAAGTTTATAAGAGATAAGTCACTATTAGTTAAAATCCAATGTGAATAGAATTAAACTATTGTTTATTAAAAAAAAGAATTGAACTATCGTTCTTATAAACGCCTTGTTGCTATTTATAAATTGTATTATCTCATTTGATAGTCCACAAGGGTTTCCTATTAAGTCGATATGCCACCTTAATGGTTTTACAACAACACGTTTTATAACAGAAGTTTTAAACCTTTTSTTATTMATGCAGTTCYTCTTTTTGGCGGTTTTTGTTGTTGTTKTTTCTTCCTTCCTTYCTTTCTTTCTCTTATTATGTAATCCCCCGTTCATGCTTCATTAAAMCATTCATTCATTTGCACATCCGTTCATTAAGTTCATTTATTTATTTATCAATATATTTGTCCTATCTTAATTTCTCTATGATAAAAACTGCAGCTGATCCTACTTCAATTTCGTCCCTCATTTTCTGTCTCCCTTTTTGAGAAAAATCTCCTCTTCAAAGCTCAGTCATGATAATTCCSGATAATCCCTACATGTGCTTAGCTTAATCGTTAAAAACAAAATGAGCGTTTTCAAAAAAAATCAAGATAATCCAAACAATTATTGCAGTAATTGATGTTGATAAAAATACACATAAGAACAAGGTGTGTCTTTAGCTGCATGACTCGAAGCACGTTATTTCAGACACCGCTGAAGTGTATGTGGTTTAAATGAGGTTTTTCCTTTGTTTGTCCATTCTAGTGCTTTTATCCAGCTAACATTTGTTGGCATTATTGAGTAATAGACGATTTTATTGTATTTATTTTGTATTAWGTGAAATTCATGCTCTATGAAGATGTCTGTCACAAAAAAGGTGCATCGGCAGTACGACTGACGAAAGGTTATAGCCTCCCGAAATATCGAAGATACGATTTTCTATGGTGTCACGTGATGGTGTAATGGATTTATTTTTAACTATTGATAGCTGTGTAATTACCCACGATTCTGTGCGATGCGTCTGTGCAAGTGATTACACATTGCCCGATAAATCCTAAAAGCTAAGAGCACTAATGGAAAAATCCTGGTAATCATTTAAAATTTACGCTTATTTGCTAATATCACATTGCAATTATAATCATGTATTTCATGCTTGATAATTATTGCTGTTTTGATAAAGTTCTTTTCGCTTAATGGTAACACTTCTGTGAACAAGAAATCTATTCTTAATTCTTATTTTGTGATTTAAAGTTATTTTTAAATTCTATAATAATATTTTACATGGGTATAATTATACTTTCTATTTTTATCGGGGTTACTGTGATACATGTACCGCTTTTTTTTTGAGTCTCAGTTTCCTTAGCAAATCCCCTAGTACTGGTTTTCTAATTGTAACAGTTTGCGCCGAGAATTTATTCTAGAATCTCTCAAAGTCATTCATTATATTGGAACATGCAATTCTATACTTTGTGTTTTTTAGCTACTTTTAAAGTATTTTGAATCAAAATGAATTCTAGAATACATTTTGATTAACGATCAAGTGTTCTAGAAAGTTAGATCAGACCTTGACATTTAGTGTACTTGATGCGCAATATACAAAAAGCCACTCGACTTAACGTCAGTTGCTACGTACAGGCAATGTTCGAAATATAAATAATATCGGTCAAGGGCAATGTAGTAGTGGTAGAGGGGTGAGAGGAAAGAATAGCAAAGAACTGAGAGGGGTGGGTGAGGGGGCCAAAGCACGTCGTTTTAGGCCATTTGCAAATTGTCAGTTTCTTCACTAAACTGTTTTCATGGGATAAAGATATAGTTTACTGTGGAATATGAAGGTCACGCATGACGTGCGTGACTAAGCTCAAAATAGCCATCCATGTCACTTAAAAGGGATGATGGTTCACGCAATACCTAAGGTAAGATGTGAAGATCACGCGATAAGAAGTAACGTAGGTCCAAAATAAACTACTTCAGAAGGAAGTAAAATAAGTTATTGAATTGTATTTGCAATACGTAATCTCGTTATCAGCCTAACAATAATTATAATCAAGTTAGATGCTCCACACAGGGAACCCAAAAGATAATATTCAATAGTGGTTGAGAAGTAGGAAGCCTCTCTAGAATAAGATTAGAAAAAAGCTTCTGCACGTCAACGCATTTACCCAGAAATAGTTTTTTCGCGACTTGTATTTAAATTACATGTACATGTCACGTGGTCTAAATTTAGATCAACTTCCTGTGTATTTATGTCAATATAACGAACACATGACGTAAACAGAACGTCGGAATCTATATTTAATATTATTACTAAGAGGGAAGTAGGAAGGCGAGGTCCCATTGCTCACAATTTTATTTTTAAATATCAGCTTAAATGACGTCACGCAATGCAGTCAAACCAAGAAAAACTGACAACACGAAACTCAGAGCAAGAAAAAAACAAACTCAGTCTAGAAGCATGGGACCTAAGAAGACAAGATCTGTATTTATCTACATGAAACAAGAGCCTATCGCTTGTAGTGTGTTTAATATCGCTCTTTGCTGTCATCCAATGACAAAGCTCGCCATCTTCATTGAATTTTACTGTACTTAATTCGCGCTGCTAACCCACGGATACACAAAACTCAAATACACCTCAAAAATACACCAAAGCGATTATCAATGTGTCATTAACAAGACAGCTTAACACTTTCTTCAAAGCAACATTAGAAATCTATCGCAGCAATTGGAACTGTCTTCCTCTCATCCGCTCTCAAAGTACGGAACTTGTGCATCTTACATTCCCTCCAGACAGACATATTAAAGAGCGTTTCAAATCGCAAATGGCTGACATGCAAATTGACCATTAACTGGTGTCAGTCTTTTGAAAGAGATATCATCGCAGATTTACGTTTTAAAGTTGTAAAGTTTCATTAGTTGTCGAAAAAATATTAAAAAAGTGTTTGAAGTTGCTGATGATTAAGACCTGGAAACTCAATAATGAAATAAGTGATCCAAGATCTTACACTGAGCGATTCGAGGGTAATGTGAAGATAACAAGAACAGGTTCTTGAGAAGTTTGCTTTGTTTTACGAGTAAACAGGAAGCGCTTGCAATCAAATTCACTTCAAATATTAAAAATATTTACTATGTATTATTACGTAATCAATCATTAAAAGTCTTTATTAATATCTCTACGGCTCTGTTCATCAATAATTAATACACAATATTAATCAAAACCTTGTCTTTGTGATAGTATAGTTTTCAATGTTTCTACCACCGTGATGTCCATTGCTTGCCTATGATATTAAAAAGGTGATTGCATAAGATGTAGAATGTACAAAAACGCTTTCTTTTCAGATCAGCATGGATTTATGTGTCATTATTTCCCATAAGACTATGATTTAAAGCTTTTAACAGATTTTAACTCTCTACACACCTTTTAGACTTTAGGACTATAGTAAAGTTTACATAATAAATGATTACATAACATGTCATCGCACGTATAGTGCATGTAGAAAAACGCATTTTTTTACGAGAATCAACATGGATTATATCTTACGATTACTATATTATCTAGAGTTTTTGACTTCGATTGCATCTTTCTATACCTTTTAGATTTCAGGACAAGAAACCTTTTATATTCGGCTACTATCACAAGCATTGTCATATTTATATTTTGCAGTATCTTCCTACAAGGTGAGAAATACTAATAAATTATGACCGGTCTCTAAAGCGTTTAAGCACTAGCTAAGTYCATTCCCAACGTCACAGATTATAGATATTTTTAACCTGAGATTAATCGTTAATCCAACGAATATTATTATCAACTTGACTACCTAAAGGTGAAGATTTAAACTTAAAGGAAATTTTAGTTAAATCAAATAATTCTTTTTTTATGGATATGTGTGAACGAGGTACGAAATATATGAACTACGTCTAACATCAATAATGTAACTTGAAAATATATAGCGACATAATGATACTTGGCAATTAATCCTGGGGAATTACAAGAGAACGCAATTAAAGGCTGTCTTTCTAGTGCTAAGCAACGCGGCTTTGCGCTGTTGAGAAGAGGTAATACGAAGATACAATTCACACAGAATCTATTCAAATTTCAGATTTTATTTTTTCATCATAAATTTTCTCTTTTCATTTCTTTGCATAATTAATCACTTTGTTACATAATTTATCAAGTTAAGCTATTTACAAAAAAATACTTGGTTATTTTCCCATCATATTTATACGCAAGTATGGAAAATTTCGTTTGAATTTGACGAAACATTTGTTTGTTGCACGTCAGTCAATGTTTTTGATCAATTTACAGATATAAAGCAGTGTAAATCTAGTTCTACATCACGATGCATAAGTAGAAAATTTAGTTCAAATTTGCAAAACACGGACTTGAATGTTTCGTGTCTTCAATGTCTCTCGATGACCAGTTTATGTACAGCTATAACTACAATAAGAACGTTTTCACGTTATAGCGAACAGTTTGTTAGTACGCACGCCAGGTTAAACCAACTGCTTGTCTCCAAAGGTTTTTTTTCCCCGGCGATCCTCAATTACCATATCTCAAATGTCGCTTTTTCAGCGACAAATTTAGATGAAGGCAGCCTTGTGGGTGAATCGTACAGTTAAAAGTTCGCTAAATCTTTGTGAATCGGTGTTGCTGTATTTGTCTGGTTTTCACAGTTCTTAAGGAAAGCAAGAAATCCAAAGTAGTCAACTTTTCCAGTCTAAAGCATTGAAGTGTCGGTTCAAAGTGCGCCGTAGAGCTCAAAGAGTTCGTCCCAAGCTTTGTTAGGATCAGATTCACCGTCGCTTATTTCGTACGATGACGACCGACTTCTCAAAAGGGTACTAAGTTCGTTAGGTATGCTTGCGAATCCTGTAGCTGCTCTTTCGGCGAGAACCGAAGCTTTTCGTTTCACAGTTTGTAATTTTTTTCCAATATTTTTCGACGCCGTGTTATTTCTTGTTGGCTTGTAGTAGCGAACTTCCTCCAATTCGATCGACCATCTAACTCGCTTGTCGACAGGTTTGGGTTGGTCGTACGAAGGTAGTTCAATGCAACTAATCGATTTAGTTAGAGTCATCGTGAAAATATCGTCTTGTTATTGTAAGTTGTTGCGATGGCTTAGACGATGGTCTGTGAAATGATCAACTAGAGAGCGCCGGCTGTTTTTATACTTACAGTAGACATTAATATGCAAAAACTGACAATCAAACATCCGCCTTTGTAGTACGATGTCTACTTATATCACTGTCACAAAACAGACTAGAATTTATTTGCATAATTCACGGATTTCCTTCTTCCGCATCAACAAAAAACTCGTAAAAGATTACATTAATCTTCAGTTTAATAAAAAGGGAGTGATAGTATGTTGCAAAATCATCTAAACATATGTGATTTTTCAGCAATTTTGCACGAATTCTTTAGAAAAACACTTTGCGTTGCAGCTGCAAGTACCAAAGACCGCTGACATACTGTGTTCAACTGATCGCAAGTAATGTTGTTGTTTTCATTGATTCGTTCACGTTTTGGGTAGACATGCTGGAAACTAGTTCATGCGATCATCGGAAACGTTGGCATACTACATATATGTAAACCAGAGCTGATCCCGGATGTTTAATTTTAGCGCATTCACAAGAAAAAACGTGACTTTAGTAAATGTGTATCGGCTAAAATCTGAAATCATAGTAATTATATGAATAATATGAAATGGAAAGAAATATGATACCGCAAAATGAAATAAAACTAATATTAGTGGAGAATTAATAAAAGGGAAGGACTTTCCTGACGAAAAAACTGAGAGCCAACTGAAAAACATTAAAGTTTGAATTTTCTATGATAAAAAGTATGTCTGCATTACGTTTGCACAAAACTATGAAGCAATTCCCGACAAGATTTTCAAGACACTAATTCAGCCTATATCATAAACGATTTTGCATTACTTTTGCTATTCACACGACGATCTGCAATGTTGTTGCAAACAGTACATAATATATAAGCAAACTAGTGCTGTATAGCTGGTTGCTCTACTAGACTTCGATATCAGTATATCGTGACTGAGAGAAAAACAAAATAGCGACTAGATTTGAAATATGAAGATATCTAAAGTTCAAATATAAATTAAGATAGCGTCTGTTAATTTCCTATGTTTCTTTTTTCTTATAAATACAGCTATAAATCAAACTTTACATTCTACTGCATTGTACTTTAGATTCCTGAGTAATATAAGATGAACATCTTGTGTTACTCAGACCATGTTGACTTTAAACGGCAACATTTCTCAATACAGTTGTTATTGAATATCGCCAATAATTTTCTTTCTCCGTGACGTATTTCCAGTAATCAAATTGTTTTTATTTTTTTTTCTCTGCTGAAAAATAGTGGAATAACATAAAAACATCGTAACTGTAAAGAAATAAAAGTAGAAACATTTAAAAAATTGCAAAAAAATAAGAATAAATACATCCAAAATACAAGAATGTCTCAACAACAAAGAAATGAAAGAAACAATATTCTAATAGTTCCAAAAAATGAATATTTAAGTGAATCCAGTATCGATGAGGTAAGTTCTAACCATAGATTATTGTACCCAGAATTTCCTTCCTCTCTCACTTTATCGGCCTACTATAGGAAATAGTCCTTAATTCCCTTTGAATTTATCGACCTATCGTAACTCGACCACTAGGGTCGGATTCATGAGGCCGTAACGTTACTTACATATGCATAACAAATATTGCCAAAAGTGGTCGATAGAGAGTTCATTTTTACGTTATCAAACCTAACTCTACCAACAAGAAGAAAGTAAGAAGACTCTTTCCTTTGTCTTATGGATGTATTTCGTCGTAAAGTAAGACATAAATGATCTATTTATTAATGTCTCGTGATTAGATGTATATGGTATTTATACATGTGGATTTGCAGACATCTTAATTTAGACAATATCATGCACTATGTTGTAAAAAGGGCGAATTAAACTTCAATTAAATCTATTGTGGGAGCGATGTGTTGGCGTTGTACAGGAAATAGACGCTGTAAGGCGTATAGAGCTCTTCCTCTGTAAGAGTGTGGGGCAAGGGCAAATAAGGGCTATCTTCAGATCAATTTAATAATGAAAAATGAAGAACGACCAAAGGAGGCGTTATATTGTGAGTAGCAAGGCGGACAGACAGTAACGGACTAGTATTGTTTTCGTTCTTCTTTGTCAACCAAAAATGTATTATTTGCTTTTCACGGTCGAGGGAAAATCAAGATATAGAAATAAAGGAAAGTTATAGTGATAGGAAGGAAAATCACCCTGGCAGACTCAATTCTGTTTGTTACAGTTTTTCCATAAACCCATGAAACAAAGGGTTCTACAGACCCGTGAAACAAAGAGTTATATTCAAATTGTAATGTGTGATACATCGAAAACACAAGGAAATATACGCAAAATAAAATACTATAAATTCGTGATCGCTAAAGTGCAATTCGCGGGTTTATAAAAATCAATCTAACGATATTAATAGAAATAGATGTACAATAACAGTTGATATCATTACTACATACTAAAGTAACGGTTCAGTAAGTTATCGGTAATTATTCAATACTTGAGAACCTACGTGCCCTTTGAATGTTTGAGAAGCATAGTTTGTGCTTTATCATTTAGTATCTTGCAGTGCTCAATATACGTTTCCGTATGTTCGTGAAAACACAGTGACAAAACATTCAAATACAACAATCGATTCTCGRCATGTTGCTGAATTTCTTATGCCATTTTCAAAATCGAGTTTATTACTTTATTAACTAGTTTTTCATCCAGTGGGTAATAACTATAATGTAGCGTTCATGGCGTTTTCATGGGGTGTTCAGTCAGGTGCATTCACGGTTTTTGGAATACATATTTTATACATATTTTGTATTTTAAAGTCTATGTGGAAAGATGTTAATAAATCATATTAGGCGATGTCACGCTCTTTCATTGACGTCAAAGTGAAGTCACCATGGAGACAACACTGATACAAAACGTTTAAATCCTACTTTAATACTTATTAAATCATAATAATTCCAAACAAATAAGTATTTGAGATAAATTCATTTATCAAATCTCATTATAAGCTCATGTATTTGATAGTAATTTAAGCATTCTTGGTTGATTAGTGATGACAGCAACACACACGAATGCTACTTAACGTAAAGTAATCATGAATCATAACAGCGTTACATCAYATTCGATAATGTTGCAATTAAGACAATGTGTTCTTTWCATTTACAAGTCTAGTTCCAGAACATTCTATCAACATCGAAATACGTTAAACTAACAAATGCGTCACCAATGCATCACCAATTTTTATAAGATTGCAAGAAAACTCTTCTTCATTACCCCTTGCAGTTCTTAATTTCGAAGAGCTACTTTGACAAGGACTAAAGCTTGAGCACATTTTTGAGAATTCATGTCATTCATGTCATCCAAATTTTCCGATTGTTTTTAAGTCCCTTTCCGTTTCCTTTGAATGCTTTTTGTTTAATTTAAACGGTGTTTGATGAAATCGTTTTGAACGCTTTTTAACCCAAACAACTCCAAGAGGATATATATTCCTAGTTACAATGACTGATGCAATCATAGGCTCTGGAAAATTCTAAGAAAATGCTGTCATAAAATCCAAGAATCCTGTGGCATAAAGCAGATAAAGGGCGCATTGGTTTCCGCCGGATTCTGGTATTAGACGACATAATACGACTTTCAGTACTAATCTATAAGCAAATTCATCTCAAAACCGATGTTTTTATTCGTTATGCGCAGTTATTATCAACCGAAATCACTGATCAGATATTTCACCTTAGACATAAAGTCTTTTTTTAATAATCCCTCGGTATAATTCATTCACCATTTATTTATTTATCTATCATCAATCTATCTTAAAGGTCGCAAAAAATATAATGAATTATTGTTCAATTTCTTAAAAATTATTTAAAAACCTTGTCAAAATACCTTAAAACCATTTCTATCGTATGGTGGTGTTGTTTTTCATCAATGTATTATTTATTTCTTGCACGTTATGTTTATTATCGAGAGATTCTAAATTTTCTGTATTTTGTGGTATCCATGGTAACCTGATTATTCTTTTTCCAGTAAATCAAGGGAGACCATCACAGATAAATAAAAAGGAGCATTCAGTCAACGATGATGATTCCAATCATGAATCTCGATGAGCGAAACAACATTGTCTGCCAACAGCGGGAAAATAATAGCGAGGAAAAAAAAAACAATCTTTAGTCCCTTGGTTTGAATAAATATGCACTGTTCAGTGATCAATATACCGTTTTCAATTTGATTGACATTATGACTAGAAAACGACGCATAAATGATTTGGATCTGTTGAAAACAGAACTTTGAAAACATCATAACACTTCTGACTTTCGAATTTAAAAAGTTGGACGAAACATGACAAACAAACGACAACAAAACTGCAAGAGACAAGAACATATTGAGTCTGCAGTGGAAAACATGCGACATTTGAAGATCTTTTTTATCTGAAAATCAACTCCACTCAGTGTGAACTGCTGTTATAAGCAAAACATTGAAACTGCAAATGTACAAAGATAAAAGATTGTCTTGACTGTATTGAAATTAAACTCAAGTAGCTGGTAAAGAGTCGGATGAGTAAAATATGAAGCTACAAACTTAAGGTAAAAGTCTGGTTTAACTGCACAGATCAAAACATGCAGTAAAGAGCTTAATGCGCCTCTCAAAAAGAGAAAGGACCACTTCTCATCTTGCTCTTGCTTTTAGTGTTTTAAGCGATTGCCACTCTTGACCATCTCGCCAACAGCTTTATGACATGCGCACTAACATCATCTTATTTATGCCATAAGAAGCTATAGTAGTAGTAAGAATCTTT